GCCCCGGCGCCCGCCCGCGGGGCTGGGGCGGGCGTGCGGGGCTGGGAGGGGGCTCGGGGGTTGCTGGGAGTGAGGTGCTGGGGGGGACCAGTATGACTGGGAGCGGGGTGCTGGGAGACTGGTGTGACTGGGAGCGGGGGAGGGGGGCTAGGGCGCTGGGGGTGTTGGGATGGGGAAGAGGGGCTCGGGGGGAACTGGGGGTACTGGTGGTGGGCTGGAGAGAGGGCTGCTGAGGTGACTGCGGTGTGGCTGGCATTGCTGGGCTTAGGGGGAGGGTGCTGTGGGGAACTGGGAGTATTGGTGTAGGTGTTGCTGGGCTAGGGGTGGTGGCATTGGGAAGAGGGGTGTTGGGGAGGATGGGAGTACCGGACTGGGCTGGAGAGTGGAGGGGCTGAGCTGCTTAGGGAGAGGGTGCAGGGGAGACTGGTAGTGGGAACTGGAGATCCTGGTGTTAGATTGGAGAGAAGGATGGTTGGGGGTGTCAGGGCGGGGAGGAGGATGCTGGAGACTGCCGATGCTGTAGTGCACGTAGCAGGAGCTGGTGGTGCTGGGCCTGGGGATGGTGCAGAGGCTGGTAGGATGGCAGGCAGATGTTGAGGGTAATGGGGGTCGTGGGAATCGGAGAATGGTGAGGGTGTTGGGGGTGCTGAGATTGGGGTGCTTGTGGCAGAAGTGGGGAGTACTGGAGAGGAGCAGGGAGTGCCCCTCTGGTTGCTGTGGGAGACTGGGAACACTGGATGTATTGAGGGTGGGGAGTTTGGGAATGCTAAGGCCGAAGGTATTGGGGAAGGCCTGTGGGCTGGGCCTGGCAGGTAGCCTTACCCCCAGCCCCCTCCTTGTTCCCTCCCCAGATTGCAAAGGAGGTGGCGAAACTGCTGGAGATGAAGGCACAGCTGGGGGGAGATGAGGGGAAACACAAGTTTGTGCTCAAGACCCCGAAGGTAACTTCCTCTAGCACACACGCTCGCGTGCCTCTCTGCGTGCACCACCTATTTCCATGCACAGACACAGCACCCCCCATGCACCTGTGTGTGCAAAATCTCAGCACAGACTTGCCTGTCTTTGTTCTCATTTCTGTTTCCCTTATTGGTTTTAGCGGCAGGGGAGAGAGGGGTAAACACATCCCTGATAGCATCTGACCCAGATACCCTACTAACTTAAAGACTTTCTGGTGCTTCTGTGACAAGCCAACCACTAGCTGGTGTGGTCAGGAAATTAAATTCATTTTTGGTCAAGCTTTATCATAGCTGCCCAGTGTGAGAGGTCTCACATCTGCTTGGATTGCACTATTTGAAGTAAGGTCATGACTTGCATTGCCCTGATGAGTTTAGGGTTCTCTCAGCTCTTGTAGCACTGACCCCACTAGTACCAGCAGACATTGGCTTTCGTGGATCAAGGATCCTCAAGCTGGTTCTGTTCCTTGTTAACCTGGACAGAGTGGATGAAGTTGCTGGTAGGTTGGGTGAGCACGTAGTGCTGCGAAGCGCAGGTCTGCTGGTGCGAGGCTTGTTGCGGGGGAACTGTGAAGCATAAGCCAGCCAAAGAAACCCAGATGCCCGGCAGTGTTTGTCAGGAATGTTCAGCACATGTTGAAATGTGGGGAGCAAGAAAGGTCTCGTGGCTTTTGATCTTGCCTTAGTCTGTGGGGGTGGGTAATCCTATTTACTGAGCAGGTCTGGCCAGCTGCTGACATTTGTGTCCTCTTGCAGAAGGACCCTTCCTTCAGGGGTACCTTTTCAGTCTCCAGGTCCCTGAGAATAGTGTCCATAATGCAATTTATGCTGACATTTTTTGTAACCTGAATGTTTCATCACTGGCAGCTGACCAGAGACCAACTGCACTTCCATGCCGTGGCATGGAGACAGTTATGAATGTTGCTCACGGATAAAACAGGTTATATTGATACTACTGACATAGGAAATGTCTCAAAACTGTCTCTCTTGTCCATTTCCTTTATCGTATGCTTTGGTAAATGTAATTGTGGTGTGAGACTTGGAAAGCGGAAGGGTATTTCACTGTTTAAAGATGTGGAGAGAGGATTTTGCAGCTCTGAGTGCCAGGGAAACACAGCTTGGGTTTCCAGCCTGCCTCAGCCACGTCAGTGTACTGCTGAAAGCTGCTCTTCACTGTGCGACCTGCAGGTGGGGTGTTATGAAGGGCCTGCTCTCTCTGCTTCCTCCTGCCTAACTGCCAGTCCCTAGAAAATTAAACTGGGAGGTCTAGTTACTTAATAGTGATTCACGTGTTGCTGAGAGCCTAAAGGTGGTCATCGAAATAATTCAGTGACTCTTAACAGCGAAGAAATTAAAAGGGAGCACATCCCAGTGAACAGTAGATGGGCACTTCACAGGTATCAAGCTCTGAAAAGATGATTTCCCTCTATGTGTGTTTGGAAATTGTAGAGCTGCTGGTTGTTCCACAGCTTCAAAGCGTGCCTGTCCTCTGATTCCACCTCTTAGGGTGCCTTGTTGTGCAGGGGTCTGGCTAATACACGTGAATCAGAGCTGTGGACAGATCCTAGCTGCGCTGTCATGCTTGAAAACACTGAACTCTGACTGTTGGATCTGTGTTAGCTCCTTTGTTCCCTGCATCGTGAAACTCCTCACTGAGATTTAGTTCTGCAGACCATGGCAGATCGCGTCTGAGCTGTGTCCTGATGTTTTCCAGTGTTTTTTGGTGGTGCTTTTTACCACCTCTCCCGATATCTGGTGTCTGGACCTGATCTCTCTGGTTTTGTTAGCAGTATGACAGCTTCTTCACATTGCCTCTCACGTCTGTCTCCGCTGCATGCCTCTAACCCAATGTGTCCTTTGCTCTTCTTTCCCTTATCTCACCCCAGGGTACACGGGACTACAGCCCCAAGCAAATGGCCATTCGTGAGAGAGTCTTCAATGCGATCATCACCTGCTTCAAGCGCCATGGAGCAGAAGTCATTGATACACCCGTGTTTGAGCTGAAGGTGAGTGAGGACACAGCAAGTTGGCTGAGCTGATGGGGATCCTGCAGTTGAAAGCTTACTATGTGTTGAGGGCTGAATTTTCTTCTTCCATCTCCTAGGTGTCCTCCCTTTCTCTCCTTATTTTCTGTGTGCTCTAGGGCTGATCCCCTGTCACTGAGGATGCTGTTTGTTCGTGTGTCCTTTTGTTGTAGGAGACGCTGACAGGGAAATATGGTGAAGACTCAAAGCTCATCTATGATCTGAAAGATCAAGGAGGAGAGCTGCTGTCCCTGCGCTACGACCTAACAGTATCCTGCTACAGCCAGTGCTGAGGGGTCTTGTCACCTTTGCTGCCCTCCTTTTGGGGGAGTGCTGTCCAGAGGGCACGGGAGGAGGAGGGAGGATAGTCTCTTGGCTCTGACCCCGTACCGACAGGGAGAGCGTGAGCGAGCAGTGTGGTTCAGTGGGTGCAGAACCCTTGCTCAGTTATTTACTGTACATTGCTTCTGTTCAGTGAAATAACGCTTGTATGTGGAGGTAAGGAAGATCTGTATTGAGTGGGGTTTCTCTTACAGCAGCATACCCAGCCTAGGCTGCTGTGGTACACAGCCCGCGTGAGACTGAGATCCAACCTATGGCGGTGCTGGAGGATGCCTGTAGGGACATTAATGGCAGCATGTGTAGGCTGTGTCTTGGACAGGTGTGGAGACCTTGGGGAGCTGTGGCAAGTCCAGCTGTTTCGTAGCAGCTGCTTTGCCCCACGGGTGTGCACCACGCTGTGCTGGGTGGTGGGGAGATAGCAAGGACCCAGCACTGCCTGTGACTGATAACTGGCTGGGGTGATCCCTCCCTGTTCCCATCCTTAACCCTACCATCTCAGGTGCCCTTCGCTCGCTATTTGGCGATGAACAAGATCACCAACATTAAGCGCTACCACATCGCTAAGGTGTACAGGCGGGACAACCCAGCGATGACCAGGGGCCGCTACAGGGAGTTCTACCAGTGTGTGAGTTTGGCCACTGACAGGGACGCTGCTGAGTGAGGCTGTAGGCTGGGCAGCCCTTGTGGGGACATAGGACCAAAGGCTGTGTTACCCTGCAGTGGCCTTCCCTGTGGCTGTGGAAAGCTCAGGAGGATCCACTAACCTCCTTGGCGTGCCCTTATGGGTGTGAAAAACAGCTTGAGAGTGAGGATGATGGCTGTGACACAGGGTGCTGGTGTATCAGGGAACTTTGTAATACAGCCTCCAGGTGCCCCAGGTATCTAGCCTGCTCCTCACTGTGGAGGAGGGCAACTCCTTGCTCCATTCCACAGTGCTTGCCAGCCTGGTGGAGGGGAAGAATTTCCTTCTGATCCCAAATCTGGCAATAGTTGAACTCCTGGGTGTGTTAGCAGGACACGTGAACCAGGCGAGTGAGTGACTTGGCTGTAGCATATGCTACTTCTGTCCTCTGCTTAGTCAGTCTTTATTTCAAAGGAAGGGAAAAACCCAGAGGCCAAATTACAGAATAGGTAAGAAAGCAATTTCCTTTGTGGCTTTCTCAGACAAGTGTGGTAGCCCTGAGGAATGGCTTTGTTCCACTGTACTAACACAGTCCCCAGGGCCTCGTATTGCAAACAAATTCCTGTTTGAGAATATTCCTGTTTCATCATACAACCCACGTGGATACCTTCCAGCTCCAGCTTGGTTTAATTCCCATTTCCAGACAACTTGGGGTCTTTGCCTGCTCATCTGAAAGACTGTTCCAAGATCTCACTCCTAGGATAGCTAGAAATAAGTCTTCTAATATCCAGGCTAAACTTGTGTCTGATAGTTTTCTTCTCCTTGTGCCAGTGCAACTCTTTAAACTGTAGCTGTCATGCCTTGATATGGATTCTTGCTTTTTCCCAGATAAACATTTGGGAAATGTTTAGAGAAATCGTCCCCTCCTTAGGCCATGTAAATCAAGCTCTGTTACCTTCTCTCCCTGGAGACGATTTGCTTCTTTGCTCAGCCTAGTAGCTTTTTCTGCATCTTTTCTTAAATATAATTCACCAGCCCTTGGTTGGGTTTTTTCAGTGAGATTTCACCTGTGCCATGTACAGTGGTAGCAGCACTTTCCTGACTGTGCCAGACCTTGCCTAACTTCCACGGGGATTGCATCAGCCTTTCTTGCAGTCAGCTGATCGGGGATTAACTGATGTGATCTCATCTCTTTCCTCCTCTGTGGCCCCAATTTATTTTGGAAGCTTGGTGAAGCCATGTTGAAACTCACCCACTTAATTAAAATTATTCTTGTACTCAAAATCCCATTGAAGACTTGTATTTGGGGATTCATAAATGGCAGTCAAATAAGAGGTCTCTTGTTACTTCTGTGTTTAATTTCTCCCTGAACATTGATGTTGTCTTTGCTATTTTCCAATCACAGGGTACCAGCCTATTAAAACATCTTGCTGTTGGGCTTTAGTTCTACATGCTAGTTCATCTGGTAATCTCTGGTGGAGACCACTCAGGCTTTCTGATTTCTTTTTCTGTCTTGGCAGTTGAAACTTTGGTTTTGCCTCAGTTGGGATCGCTTGTCTTGTCTTCTTCCCTGATCATTAACTTGACTGGCATGTGTTTTAATAGAAGAACATCTTAAGAATCAAGGCGAAACATCTGGCATTTAGGTCATGCTAAATAATAAGTAGTTTTCTTCTCCCCTTCCTGGTTCCTTTGTTCTATTTATTTACTGCTGATGAGTGCTCTGCTGTCTCCTTTTTGTTGTTTTTCAAGGATCTCTGTTTCAAAGTGTATCATGCAGTAAACTGCTGTGTCAGAGGCAGGGAGCAGGTCACACACCTCGAGAAGCAGAACAGCTTCTCGCAAACTGTCTGCACTGGCCATGACACAGTATACAAACTCTTTGCAATGCAGTGGACACGAGAGCACTGCTGCCTTTGGTGAAAGAGGGTCATAACCCACATCCTATCCCTTCTGGATCCTATTGGCGAGGGCTAGTGCTGCCTTACATCCCGTTTCTGTTGCTTTTTGTAAATAAACTGCTGTTAACAGCAGAGTTGAAGCTGTATTGCTGCAGCCACGCCAGTGGTGCTGAATTGCTCACTGCCTTTTCCTGTGCCCCAGGATTTTGACATTGCCGGCCAGTTCGACCCGATGATTCCTGATGCAGAGTGCCTGAAGATAGTGCACGAGATCCTGAGTGACCTGCAGCTTGGGGACTTTCTCATTAAGGTGAGACCTGGCGGGTTTCTCTGTGCCACGGTGGGAAGCAGTGGTCATTGTTCCTGTGGTTTTACGCAGCAGCACCTGCTCCCACTCTAACACCCACTAAGGCCTGATCCAGAAGTTCATCCTGCCTCTCTGCCTCCTCATAGTGTATATGCTAGAAGGCTGGACCTCAGCTCAGACTTGCTGGGAATGAAAGGACGTTTCCTGAGCCTGCAGTTAGCAGAGTTCTCTCTAGCACTAACCACAGTCCCCTGCAAAACGTCCAGCAACCAGCTTACCAGGTGACTGTCATATTCACTGCCTGCAGTAAAACACAGGCTCTGGCCCAGGATCCCTGCCCTCGTCCCAGCTCCTGATGCCCCCTTAGGGACATCTGCTCAGTGTGTGTGCTGTGTTGTCTGCAGACTCCTGCCTTCCCACCAAGTCCTTTCTGGGGCTGAAGCCTCTTCCAGAAGAAGAGTCATGCCCTACTGTAGGCTGAGCTTGCTATTTGTTTCAAAACAACCTCCGTTATCTCAGTGTGGCAGCAAATGGTGCTGGGTGTGCAGGTCAGGCAGGATGGGGAAGGGTGTACAGCAGTAGGAGAGCGATGGGTAGGAGTGCCTGATGTGCAGGAGGGCGGTGGGATCTCTGAGAGGGACTTGGAGCTGGGTCATTGCTGGGCTCTGCAGGGGAGGTGAGCAGTGCGAGCTGGGTGTTGCACTCCTATGTGCAGCCCTCACTGGGTAGGGGGGCAGTTAACTGCCCTTGAACCTGTCTGGGATGAGCTGAAGATCTGTGCACAGGAACTGCCTGTCCAGCTACTGTGTGTTTGGACAGTGGTGAAAGCGGATGCCTTTGAGGATGAGGAGGCACCCCTGCAATGGGGAACAGCAGAATAACCTGCCTGCGGTTATTCTTGTCTTCCATGAGCCACTGTCTGGTTCATGTTGATGCTGGAGGATTACAAACTCCCAAGCAGTCTTTGTTTCTGTCTAATTTAATTGTAGATGTTCTCACTACCCATGGAAATTTGAATCCAGCTGAGCCTTTGGCCTCAATTACCTACTATTACAGAGCATAATTAAACTATGGAATTCACTATACTATCAAAAAGAAAATTCCTTAGCAAGGTTTTAACATAATCAGATGTCCCTTTGTTCTTACACTGAGAAAGCAGGGTAACGCACTGAATTAATTTCCTCAGTCCATGGTCTGTTCCTGAGCTGTTTTTATGTATCCACATGAGAGGACTCATAGGCCCCGTTGGTTTTTCTTTGTTGAGTGGAGGTGTCTGTGGCTCTAGAAGGACAATGTGATAGCTCCACCCAAGCTTGGTAGGAGTCAGTTGTGCTAGTTGGCCTGCTCTGGGCAGAGAGGCAGCTTAGCTCCCCAGGAATGGGAAAGAGACAGAAATTGCAAACAGCAAAAAATCTCGGCAGCCATCTGCTAGTTTCTCTTCCATGCTTCAAACTAGAGAGGAGAGAAACTGGACACAGCTGAAGCATCTGTTTGACTTCATAGTTAATGACTTGCTCCCTCTCCCCCAGGTCAACGATCGACGCATCCTTGATGGGATGTTTGCAGTTTGTGGTGTCCCAGACAGCAAGTTCCGAACGATCTGCTCCAGCGTTGACAAACTGGATAAGGTACAGGCTGGAGCCCTGGGCTGCAACTGCCGCTGCTGGGAGTGTCAGTGAGTCTCTGTCCCTCTGGGCCGCTCTTACCATGGTCCATGAGAACTGGCTGGAAAATGCTGATAAACATTGAGTCGTTCTTGTTGCCCCCTTTCTCTGGAGGGGAGCCATGCAGGGCGCAGCAGTCACATAAGAAAACTGGATCCTATGCTTTCTTCCCCAGTATCCCATGAGGTCTTGACAAATGGAAAGGAGGGAGGGAAAAATGCTCTTCACATGGGAGATTCAACATCCTAGGCCTTAGCCTTCTTAAGGTGCTGCTGCTTATGAACCAGGATCATGAAAACCTGCCCCCAGACTGGGCCAGGGCATTGAAAAGCCTTTTCAAATGCCTTTGGTTCAGTTGGGTGGTGTGAGGAATCACAGTTCTGTCCTGTAATCATAGAACAGCCCAGATTGGAAGGGATCTCACCTGCTCCTTTAAGACACAAGGCAGGAGGTACCCACAGGTTTGTGCTCAGCAAGCTGCCTCAAGAGTACTGGCTGTTGTGAAGGTCTCTAAGGGACTCAGGCCCTTATGTGGCCCTTTGGGAGGAGGGAAAGGTGCCAGTGTAGGTACAACTTTTTATGTGCAGCTGATTGTCTTGATGGTAGGCCCTAGTCAGATATAAAGATGCTGGAGATCAGTCTATAAATGTGTATACAGTCCTTCACTAGTAGCTAAGGAAGAGAAACATTAAAATGAAGTGCCGTCTAAAAAAACTCAGTTTTCTTGGCTTGGGATCTGAAGTAGAATTTGAAGGCGAATTTTTTTTGTCTGTGTGTGTGTTTGTTTTCATGGTCATGTGGGGGACACTGTGGGCTGACTGCTTAAAGGAGTGCTCCTGACCTTCCTGTGAAACCCTGCTAAACAAAGCGGCCTTGTATCTTATCCCATGCCTCCATGTTGCTTTGTTCAAGCATGAACTGCATTTGCCTTTGGAGGCCTCATCTGATGCTTGAATGAAGTCAACTAGAGGAAGGCTCACTTAAAGTCCTATTAGCAGTGAGATCTATTGCAAAGGCATGACCAAAGTGTAGGTCTTGGGGCTGTGTGTGTGTGGAAAAGCAATAGGAAGGGAGGATTAGGCTTTTTTAGAATGGGATAATTTCCTTGTTTTCGTACTGAAACACTGTGGTTTATCTCCGTGCAGCTGGATGTGATCAAGACTCTGGTTTTCTTTGACCCCTTGGTCAGTAGGAAAACTGCTTACATTGGGTTTTTGTATCACCCAGCCATCTCCTCATACCTTTCCACGTGGTAGGCATGACCAGCAACACTTTCTTGACTGATGTTTATGGCTAATAAACCTAAAGTACCTAATGAGGGAAACCACAGCAGCAAGACATCTCTCAAACTCGGTGCTTTTACAGTACTGATGTTCGATTCTGGCCAGAAATCAAAAACAAAGTATTTGTCCTGGGGCTTCAAGTCTGCGCAGCTTTGCTGACTGCAGGGTTGGGATACAAACAGACTGTGCAGAGGTACAAGAAATGGAGTTATGACCATATGACCACGCTCTGAGAGTATTTGATCTGCTGCTTCTCTCCTGCACCTCTTAGCCACACTGACACTGATGGGGTTCTGCTGTGTAAAGATCTGTTGAGGGCAGATATGTCTGTTCATCTGTATTGGGCAGGACCACCAGAGACCTTCCCTAGGAGAGACCACAGCAGTAGCTGATGTGCTTCTCTCCCCTCGCAGATGCCGTGGGAAGAAGTGAGGAGCGAGATGGTCGGAGAGAAGGGGCTCTCTCCCGAGGCTGCAGACCACATCGGGGAGTATGTCCAGCTTCACGGTGAGCACTGTGGGTCGAGCCCTTGGCCTTGTTCTTCCAGGCCAGGCAGGGAAGGCCAGCGACAGAGGGGGGCAAGGCACGTACGTGGCTGGCTGGGCCCATCGTTGCGGGTGCTGCTGCACTGGCAGCCCTGAGGCACAGCTCGTTCCCACAGGTGGCCTGGACCTGATAGAGCGGCTTCTCCAGGACCCAAAGTTGTCCCAGAACAAGCTGGCCAAGGAGGGGCTGGGGGACATGAAGCTGCTGTTTGAGTACCTGACCCTGTTTGGCATCACAGGGAAGGTGAGGAGGTGCAGAGGCAGGAGGAGGTGCTGCCGTCGTGGCCGGGCAGCCTGGGCCCCCGAGCGCGCCCAGTGACAGGGCTTCTCTTGCATCCTACAGATCTCTTTCGATCTGAGCCTGGCGCGGGGTCTGGACTATTACACGGGGGTGATCTTTGAGGCTGTCCTGCTGCAGCAGGAGAACGACCACGTGGAGGAGTCAGTCAGCGTTGGGAGCGTGGCTGGAGGCGGTCGCTACGATGGGCTGGTGGGGATGTTTGACCCCAAGGGACGGAAGGTGCCCTGCGTGGGGGTCAGCATTGGGATTGAGCGGATCTTCTCCATCCTAGAGCAGAGAGTGGAGGTAGGTGCCTTTCGTGCTCAACTAAGCATGGAGAAAGAGCAAGGATTTACATCTTCCCCACATACCCCCAGTCCAGCAGATGCTGAAGTGAGTCTTCCTTGCAGCAGTCTTTGATGGAGAAGCCAGCCAGGTCTCTACTGGGCTCTGCAGCAGGAGTCAGAACCAGGACATAATCTCCAATTTTCTCTGGCTTGGGAGATGATCTTTGGGGCTCCCTCTGGAGACAAGACCCCTCTTACAGCAGCCCTCAGACATGGCTTGTTCAGTAGCAGCTGGAAGGGGCACTTTAATCTTCAGCAGTACCAGGTACCCAGGTCAGGTGCCTTAGTGTTCCCCACTGCATTAGGCATCTGTGTGACCCCACGTCCTCCTTGGCAAGGCGGCACTGCTCTGCAAGGCTGGCAGGGAGACAGCAGCCTCACATGTCTACTTGTCCTGCCCAAGGCACTACAGAGACCAGACAGGGATCGGATGTCCCAGGGCAGGGAGTGCAGTGCCTCTGGGGGTTTCCCTGATAGCTTTTTCCTATTCCCCCCTCCTCAGAGTTGCTTTACCAATGTGTTGTCCTCTGTCCCAATCAGTTGATGTTAAGTAGGTTTTTGTAGGCTCCCAAAACACTGCCACGCATTTCCCTCCCCCAGCAGCCTGTTGTGGGAAGTTCTCTCTTGGCAGCCAGATACAACTAGGATTTCTAAGTCAAAACTGAATTCTTCCCCTGCCACCTCTAGTCCTGGCCAGGTTTGTTCCTCTGCAGGTGACCTTTTAAAGGTTTCTCCCTTCAGCAAAAGCAGCATCAGGAAAATGCCACCTTGAGTATCCAGCATCTGCCATGGGAGCAGGTGGCTCCTGACAGCACTGAAGCATCTCAGCTTGCTGCTGTTAATCTAGTCCATAGTTATGAGCTCAGCTGTAGAACAGGCAGCTGCCTTTGTCCAGGTTCTGCCAGGCTTGCTGCTCCTGAGCTGCTTGGAGCAGATCTCTGGGAGGCCCTTGGATGTGGAGGAACAGTCTCTAGGCACAAGCTGGCAGGGAAAATGCTCATTCTCAGCTCATCCTCCAGTCTGCATGCACCTGCATCATGGAACAACTGCAGAAGATGAGATTCTGCTCCAGGATGGGGATCCTCCCTGACTCTCCTGAGTTTGTGCTGTTCATCCCACTGAGCCTGATCCTCTTCACCGCTAAATTGATGGGCCTGGGGTGGTGACCTGTCCTGCTCATAGGGTCTCAGATATCTCTGTATGTCCATGGCATCTTTTGAGTCTTGTCCCCTCTCTAGGCCTCTGAGGAAAAGATCAGGACAACGGAGACACAGGTGCTGGTGGCCTCTGCCCAAAAAAAGCTCCTTGAAGAGCGGCTGAAGCTCATCTCTGAACTGTGGGATGCTGGAATCAAGGTATGACCAGGTGATGGCAAAGTCAGGAGCTGCCTGGTCCACTCTCTGTGCCAGGAATGGACTAGATCTGGCTTTGCTTTGGGAGGAAGGAGTCAGGGAAAAGGTGGGCAGCAGACTGCCTTCCTGAATGGAGCCTGTCTCTTCCTGGTGTCCCAAATCAGGTGTTCTCCAGGAAGGGCTAGGCAGCATGACTTGGTTAGCCTTGTAACACTGCAGGGGCTGCTCTGTGTCTGTTATCTCAGGACAGATTCCCAAAGCAGGCAACACTCCAACCCCTGCTGCGTGGCAGCTGGGATACCATGCCACTTCCAACAAAAAGCAAAAAAACTGCAGAGCCTTGCAAGGAGGGGAGAGTGGGGCCAGGGAGGAGCCTGGGCTGTTTTCTGCAGGCTGAAGGCAAGCTGTATGGGAGGGCCCTGCTCCCTGCCTTGCTGTGGGCAGACTCCCTTGATGGCTGAGTGAAGGAGAATGCCTGGGTGCTCTGCTGGGCTCCAGACCTTGCAGGGGGGACACCACAGGTGTCAGCCCTGGTCTGACATGGACTAGAGCTAATGACCTGGTGCTTTCCCAGGATAAGCAGTGTCTTGTGAGTACCTCTGAGCTGTGTTGCATTACTCGTTAGCTGTAATGCCCAGCCTTCTCCATTAGCCTATCTTCTCCCCCACCACACACCCCCATGCTCACCAGACAGCAATTAGCAGACTGGCTCAGCAATGCCTGGTTGAGGGGGTGCAGAGAAACAGGCCACTGCTGATCATGGTGTTGCGCTCTGGTTCTCTTCCAGGCAGAAGTGCTGTACAAGAAGAACCCCAAGCTGCTGAATCAGCTGCAGTACTGTGAAGACACGGGCATCCCTCTTGTTGCCATTGTGGGTGAGCAGGAGCTCAAGGATGGAGTCGTCAAGCTGCGGGTTGTGGCAACCAGGGAGGAGGTGAGGCCTGTGGTAGCTTGGCATGAGGGGGGTGGCTACGTAACCCTTCATCCCAGCTTGGGTCAGCCCTTCACACCCATCTGTACCCTGCTCTGCAGCGGTGCCCTCAGGTAGTACCCATGTACAAGGTGGCTTTGCCAGCCCACATTTTGAGTGTAGAGCCCAAAGGGGCGATTGGAGGAGTAAGGGACTTCCGCCTGATGTGAAAAGCCTCCAAGGCTTAGCAAAGCTGCTTACACAGAAGGTGCAGCGAGGCGCAGTAGGCAGACGGCCATAAGCCAGGGCTGGCAGACTCGAGGTGAGGCCTATGGCCTCAGGGGTGCACTTTTGGAGACTGGGTGAGGTGAGTTTCCTCAGCCCCTCTTCACTTGCTGTGGAGCATGTGCCCTGGTGTCAGTTTGCCACAGAGCCCCCTATAACAGATTCTCAGGATTTTGTACATTGGCTTCCTCATTAGATCTTGTCAAGCAGCGGTCTCCCCAGGGACTTCTGTAACACCTCATGTTCCAGTTCCTCACCACATGCAGTCTCCTGGAGCCATGGAGCACTGTTGTCTCCATCTCTGGAATAGCTCCAGCTGTTGCTCAGTTCAGGAGCCTGGAACAAGGAGGGGCGATTCAGCGGGCTGTATGGCTGCTGGCGCTTTCTGTCCAGGGCATGGGACCATCATGGAAGGTCCTGGAAGTGCCCTCTTGGAATGAGTGGGACCAGTGCTGATCTATGCACTGGTCTTGGCTTTAGAACCAGTAGGAAAAAGTGGGAAGAGCATTGCTTTCACAATCGTTGGGCAGAAGAGGGCTCGGCAGGGTTGCCGGCAGGTGCTTGCTCTCGTAGGTTCAGCTCCACATGTGCTGCGGCCCACTCAATCCCCGTAGAGGGGCTGGTGACAGCACCATGGTGCGATCTCCCAAGACACAGGGCCACGAATGTGGTGGGGGCCATCTCTCTGGGACCAGAAAAGGTCACGATATGTCAAGCTGCTTATGTTGTATTGAAGCAACTTTGTGGTCCCCCTGTGTAGGTCAACGTTCGCAGGGAGAACCTGGTTGAGGAGATCAGAATGCGAACGAGCCAGCCTTAAACCCCTTCTGGACACGTCTACTCATTTGTTGGATTCTAGCTGACAGATTTCCTCCTGTAAATGCCTTCGCCAGGCCACGTAGCCATGGGTGCAGGGTTGGGGAGCCTTTGAAAGCTGTATTTATTCTTGTCTCGTGGCCCTCCCTTTCCCGGCGGGAGCAGAGAGGCTGCACCAACTCCTACGACATACCCTGGCCCTCCAGTGTGTCACTGGAAAGATGTTTTGCAAGTGGCTCTTGCAAACGCTGGCCTCCCGTCCGCCATCGGTGCGGTGACACGTGGAGCCCTGTGCTGTCAGCAGACCTCGGGGTCTTGGCTGCAGCTTCTTGTTCTAGTCGCTTTGAATAAACATCCCTCTGCGTCTCTCTGCTCTGGCTGCAGGGAGGTGACCTTACCCCAAGCAAGATGTAAAGGCGCTGCTCTCCAGAAACATAATAAATCTGTCTCTCCCACTCCGTGACTCCTGTCCCTACTTTCCACTTGGGGCAGGGATTTGCTTACCTGCCTCGCTGAGCGGAGCTGGTTTTTAAATGTCACTGTGGATGTTTCTTCAACCGCGATGCTCCCTCCTTGCCTCCGGATCCGACCGCTGCTGCTAACCCCTGTGCCATGTGCAGAGCAAAGCCCCCACCAGCCAGGCTGGCGCTCCCCGAGCTCCCACGTGGGCTCCCTGTGCCCTGGTCACGGGTGAACCGGGTCCCCCGGCCTCCTGCGGGTGCCTTGGGGTGCCCTCCGTCCCCAGCTCCCCTCGCTGCTGACCCACGGATTAACCCAGCTTCGTACCCCAAACCAGGTAGTTTTGTAAATCCGCGTCCCACGGCTTCCTGGCGTGGAACGGCCGCGGCAGC